TGTGAAGTTTGATGATCATCGTGACGCTGGTCCTCTCCTCTTTGGTGGTGATTATCTGTCTGTCTGTCCTCCAGTGTCTCTGTCTGTCAGTCCAAACCTTCAGCAGGTCTTCAGTGGATCTTCTTCAGTGTCTCTGAGTTGTGTTGATGATGGACAGACAGCTGATGGATGGACAGTGAAGATGACCAGCGGAGGTCCCACTGAGGACTGTGGAGCAGCTGAGATGAGTGGAAGTTTGTGCGTTTTGGATCGTAACTCGTCCTACAGTGGAACCTTCTGGTGTGAAAGCTCATCTGGACAGCAGAGCGATGAAGTGTCCATCAGTGTTTCAGGTACAGTGAGATGTTCCAGCTGTGTCTCTGTCTCTGTGTGACTCCAATCTGATGGTGGAAGTCTGTCTCTGTTTACCTGCTATTCAGAAAAAGGTGTGATCCTGGAGATCCCTGCACTTCCTGTGAGACCAGGAAGTGATGTTACTCTGCAATGCAAGAAGAAGAGTGGTGAAACAGTTCCATCGTTTTTCTTCATGAATGGACGTCTCCTTGGGTCTAAAGCAGAACACGTTATCCCTAATGTCAGGCACTCTGATGAAGGTCTCTACTGGTGCGCTTCTAACACATTTGGATCATCTCCTCAGAGCTTTCTGAGGGTCCGAGGTCAGAACACTGACATAACTCCGTGTTTAAAGACCTGACCTGCTGAGCTGACTCATTAACCTGTTTCATCATGTGTCCTGCAGGGTCCCCTATAACTACTCTCAGAAAGTCCGTCCCTCCACCTCCAGTTTCTGAGGCCAGTTCTTCTCTGTCCACTCTTCCTCCTCTCACCAACTCTTCCTCCCCTTCTTCTCCCTCTGTGTCTTGGATCAGAGTTATCTGCCACCTGTTGGCCTTCTGCCCGTACTGCATCTGCACCATCCTGCTCCTGTCCATCTGCTGCAGCAGGAGCTCAGGTACAAACTCAGACAGATACTCACAGAAACACTTTGATCACGTCAGCACTGTCCTGATTTCTCCACTCTGCCCACAGGTAACAAACATGCTGTCTCCATGGAGATGCCATTGGATGTTGACGAGCATGATGACACCACTGAGCATTATGTTTGAGCGGATGGATCCTCTGATAGAATTAAATGTTTTTAAAGCTGAAAACTCTGAAGTCCTCACTCTGAGTTTCTCAATCAGAACCTGATCTGTTCACTGATCGATCAATAACCCTCAAACTACTGATGAATTACTGAATTATTGGATGAAAGCTTTGTTTGACATTGTTAGCATCTTCAAACATTGAAATCTCTGTGCACCTCTCTCAAGTTATTTACTGCATTTCATTTATTTACCACTGATTCCCAACCTTTGGGAGCCGCGGCACATATTTCACATTAGAAAAATCACACCACCAACAAAAATATCACAGAAAGTATATTGATAGTTTTTCCCTGCACATCAGGTACAGTGGTATTGGCTCGGTTTGTCCCCAGTGTACCTGTTGTACTTTCTTCTGACCAGTACTCATGCTAGGACCTTCATCTGCGTCTGAGTTTTCTCCAGGACCAGGTCCGATTGTTTTACTGCCAGTTGGCAACTCATTTAAATAGAGCTGGTAGTTGTACTGCCCTCTAGTGGAAGAGAATGTAATTGTTCCACCCGTTACTCGATTACTTCGAGGACTAATCAGGTGGAACCAGATAATCGTCCACGGCACACCTGATCATTTCTCAGGGCCCACCTATGTGCTGCGCCACAGTGGTAGGGAGACACTGGGACATATGGTATCAAACACTGGGAGCGTTCGCCGGCGTTTTACAGAATGATGGTGAAAGAAATGGTTGATGCACTTTGAGTTCTTCAGCTTTGTTAAGGTTTTATTTTAATCAGCAGGAGAAAAAAAGCCATGTAGTTTTAGGAGATTGTCATATTTATTACCAATCCCAGGTTTCTGCCACGGCTGACTAAATACAGTCAATCCAGCAGTGTGCACGACCTCTTTAAAAAAATGATATTTCAACGCTCAGATCCATGAATTTTCAGTTCCATGGATAAAACGATAAAATTAAACCAGATTGTATTCCATTAAGATTCCAAATGACAGTTTTTTACTTTCATCCCTGAAGAGGAACTTTGTGTTTTTGAGTTTTTTTGAGATGTCCAGTGTGTCGGCTCAAATTTGGATTTATAAAAAACAGATTCAGGTTCCAAAAGGTAAAACAGGGAGAACTCAGCAAAAACGAGGGTTAGATGGCAGGAGGTTTAATAAGTGTGTTGATCAGTGTTTGTGGAAGCTCCGACAGAGTTAGTTCAGTTCTGAAACTTTACTGTGGCCTCACAGCTCTTCTTCTACTGTGTCATTGAAGAACCTTCAAACTCTCTGAGCTGGTTTTCCTCCTCAGCCCTGTTTGATGACAGAAAGCACCAAACTGTGTCCTAATCTCACTTCATTATTTATCAACTTGTTTCTTTACTAACCAACAAATTATTTGAACATGTCAGCAAATAGCAGATTGTAGAAAAGCAAAATAATAACTTTAACTCCAAGTGTCTCATATTTGATGCGTGAGTTTTTCACACTTCTACATCGTCATTTTACATTTTACACAATAACCTGCTGGATGCAGCAAATGTGATACAAATTAAAACTCACATATGCAAATGAATGTTACATTTTTAAGTTCTGTTTTTTATGTTTCGTCAGAAGGTTCAATAAAGATTCAATAAAAAAACTTTTTTTTCTGGTGATTATTTCATAGTTAATGGTTTTAACGGCACAGGAGCTAAACAAAAGTCATCAAAGGTCAGCATGCAATGACATGAGTCAACATCACACTGCTCTGTGACGTCTGTGACATCACTTCCTCTTTTGTAAAGTTTTTTTTTTCATTTAAATGTTCCATTCAGAGTTTAATCATTCACTTTATTTGGACACTGTTGATTTGTTTCACACAGTCAAAATCTTCTTCAAGTCATTAGTAACACACAGTGCACATGTCAGTCAGGCATCTCTTTGTCTTCCCAATAAACACGTTAGAAAGAGACCAAACCAACAAAACCTCCGCTTCAAACGCTAAATCCATCCATTCTCCTCTGCTTGTCTCTGTCGGGTCACTCGAGCCCTCCTTTATCCCTCGTTTCAAACAGCTTCTGGATGTTACCTGGTAACTGTCTTCTGTGTCTTTTAATATTATCATCTAATAAATCCTTAAATTCCATTGCATTTAATTGAATAAATGATGAATTTGTTGACTTTAGGATTAGGATTCAACTTTATTGTTATTACAAATGTATAAACAGAGACTGAAATATTGTTTGCATCTAATCAGATGTGCAAGAGCAGTAAGTGCAATAAGAGCAGATTATATGCAGATAAGGATAGTGTGAAAGG